CTGCCTTGGAGGGAAAAAGCTCACCTTGATGCAGAAGGTGAAGTCTGTCGGCGCTCCGTATAGTTTGCGGCTGTTCACCACGGTGTAGACGTTCAGATCATCCAGATCAGCCACATACTGCAGGTGACGAGGCTCCTGGACGAAAACACACAGAACCTCGATTTACTCAAACTAGAGGTCATGTAGTTACTGCGACTAAAGTCTGTGACTGTGCTGGACCTGCTGACCTTGGACGAGCCCTTGGTGGAGCTGTAGAGTCCCGAGCGGCGCAGGAAGAAATAAACCTTCTTCCAGGCTTTTCGACTTGATTCTTTAACATGCAGGAAACCCTGGATCTCCGGACAGGTCCCAGACTTGAGCAGGTTCTGATGAGTAAACACGGCTCATTACTGCAGGAACCTCAAATCACATATTTCCATACTTTGAAAGCACTTCAGCACTCAGAGACTCCAAGTACTCAGATGATGTATGCTCGAGTCAATTTATGAGTAAATGTATATTTTGAAAGCATTTCTCTCTCATATTTAGTTTTAAATAGTTTTAAGAGTTCACAAAGCCGAAACGCATTGGTCTATTATTAAAGTTGTTCATCTTCCCTCAAGTGTTGCTGGAGTTCCTGAATTCTTTTATCCTCTCCATGCACCTTGGAAGCAAGTGAAGTTGTGCCAGAAAATTCTTTTGCTGCGAAATAGTTTTAAGAGCAAAGTCGAGGACGATGCTTTTCAGATTTAAAATAAATAAATTCTAGTGTCTTCCTCACAGTGAGGATTATGGCTTATTAATCCAGCACAGGTATCAAATCAGAACTTGGCTTTGACTCTCGGCCAGCACGACGGTGCTGATACTTCATCATAACTGGAGAAAGCCAGATCAGTGCAGAGTGTAGAGCACAGCTGGCCAACACTGGCAGAATTTTCAAAGTGTTGCAGGTAAGACGACACATTGCAATTTTTTTTAAAGTTTAGACGCAGAGCCCCAAATCTTTAAACTTTATACAGATTTTCTGTGAGTTAAATCTCTTAGAAACCCAGAGAGT